TCCTATGGCTCAAAGGCTTGTTACACACCTTAGGAGTCTACCATTTTAAACAAAGAAGCCTCTTGATTAATTCTATGGAGATATGACATATTTTCTCTTATAATTTTATATTTTCTCACATAGGAAAAGATTATCACTAAATTTCTAACTTCATTGGCCAATCATCTTCCTAATCAAAAGTTGTCCAACTTAGTAAAAAATTAAGTTGTACACCACTCAAAATTTTTAAAATATCAAGGGAATTTAAAAGTTGACACTTTTTTTTTTTTAACTTAAAAATATAATAACCATATCAACAATTCTAAATACATGGAATTCAAAGAAGATGAGTTTTTCAAAATTATGTACGGCTTCATATGTAATCGACAAAATGAGGAAGAAATGTAATTTATGAAGGGAAGAGATAAAAAAATTGCTAAAAATAGTTTAAAAATTAAAAACATTAAAAATAAAAGTTTAAAACCCTTAATAAATTACCATCAAAATATTATAATTTGATTAATTAAAAAAAATTTTGTCCTTTTCCCTTTTCTCCATTCTCCTCAACTAAAACATATGGTAAAATTCACAATTAACCTTTTTAAAACCCAAGTTCTTACCAATTTGGGCATGCTTAAAAAAATAAAAATAAAAAATTCCCTTTTTCCCCACATTCTTTGCAAATTTTCTTTCGTTTCACTATATGGGTGGACATATGCGGGTGAGTATTTTCGGGTATAGATTAGGTATGAGCTATTTTTGGTATTTGACTTGAAAATTTTTGGGTATGGCTTTTTATTGAAAATTTTTGGGTATAGCTTTCCTAGACTTAGTATTTATCCAAATACGTGAAGACCTATGGTTGATACTTAACCAAACAGGTATCAAGTAACTTCCAAGTATATACTTATATACTTGTTAAATGATATTTTGCTTTAAATTTTTATTCAAATTAAAATTTAATAAAATATTATTTACTTTCAATCTACACTTAAATAAAAATAGTAAAAATTTGATAAAATATTATTTATTATAATATAAACTTAAATGTAATCTAAAATAATAAGAGAGAATTAAAATTTGGCTTCATATCTAGAATTCAAATCTACATATTATTAAAAAACTAAACTCAATTAAATAATTAATGATAAAGGAATGAAAAATATGTACCAAAAAATAATTAATGAAATTAAATTAAATAACAAAATAAAAGTACTTCAAAGAAGATATCCATATTTTTAAGCTCATAATCTTCCTAATCCTCTGTTTTAGTTTGTTAGAAAGGGAAAGTAGTTGATGGTATTGTGTCTATTTTAATATCATAATGTCTATGCTTTTGACTTACGATTCTTATCATGTTAAATGTAATTTATAAAGGGAAGAGATAAAAAAAAATGCTAAAAATAGTTTAAAAATTAAAAACATTTAAAAATAAAAGTTTAAAACTGTTAATGGATTATCATCAAAACATTATAATTTGATTAATTAAAAAATTTTTCTTTCCTTTCCCCTTTTCTCCAATCTCCTCAACTAAAACATATGGTAAAATTCACAATTAACCTTTTTAAAACCCAAGTTCTTACCAATTCGGGCATGCTTAAAAAATAAAAAAATAAATAAAATAAAATAACTCCCCTTTTCCCCACATTCTTTGCAATTTTTCTTTCCCTTCATTGTATGGATGGACATGTGGGGCTGAGTATTTTCAAGTATAGGTTAGATATCATATGAGCTATTTTTGGTATTTGACTAAAAAATTTTTGGATATGGCTTTTTATTGAAAATTTTTGGATATGTCTTTTTTAAACTTAGTACTTACCCAAATACTTGAAAACCTATGGTTGATACTTAACCAAACATGTATCAAGTAACTTGCAAGTATATACTTATGTACTTGTTGAATGATATTTTGCTTTAAATTTCTTTTCAAATTAAAATTTAATAAAATATTATTTACTTTCAATCTGCACTTAAATAAAAATAGTAAATGGTTGATAAAATATTATTTACTTTCAATCTACACTTAAATAAAAATAGTAAAAATTTAATAAAATATTATGTATTATAATATAAACTTAAATATAATCTAAAATAATAAGAGAGAATTAAAATTTGGTTTCATATCTAGAATTCAAATTTACGTACTATTAAAAAACTAAACTCAATTAAATAGTTAATAATAAAGAATGAAAAATATGTTCCAAAAAATAATGAATGAAAATAAATTAAATAACAAAATAAAAGTACTTCAAAGAAGATATCTAGATTTTTAAGCTCATAATCTCCTTAATCCTCTACTTCATTTTGTTATAAAGGGATAATAGTTGATGGTATTGTGTCTATTTTAGTATCATAATGTTTATGCTTCTGACTAACGATTCTTATCATGTTAAATTTGGTGTTTAAACCTAAAAAATCATTTATACAATAAACAAATACTATGCCTTGAAAATCACTAAATAAAAAGTAAAAAAATCTAAAAAGAATAAAAATTTGAAGTTATATGTATTTACTGTTGCCTAAGAATGCAAAGAAGGGCACTTAGCCTTCTAGGCCAACTGGTTTGTAGCTAGTTTTGAAAGTGCACTTCTAATAGCATGATACTGGTTCAAATCCCTTTATCCCTAAAATTTGAACTTATTCAAAAAAAAAAACGAAAAACAAAAAAATAGTGAAAGGAAGGGAAAAAGTTGTTGGTTGCGTGTGTGATATATATTTAGTTTAAAATTTGTTATTTATAAGTGCATGTGTGATTTCTTTTTTTTTATTTTTTTATTTTATTATTTTTGTTTTTAAAAATTATTGTTATTATATAGATAAAATATAATAAGTATATATAAAATTTTAATTATACAAATGCAAGTAATAGTTAGTTAAATAAAATAATTAAATAGATCGAGTAAATAGTTCTAAATCTTTATATTTATTACTTGACTTAATACTTATAAATATGCTACTTTCATACTTATTAGGGGTGTTCATATCCAATTCAATCCGATTGATTTGACCTAAACTGATCCGATCCAATCAAAAATCGATTCAAACTGATATAAAATTGGGTTGGTTTGAATTCTAAACTTTTAAAACTGATATAATTGGTTTGGTTCGTGATTTTACTTTCAAATCGCCCGAACTGCCCGATTACAAAATAAAATCCGATTAGAAAATAATTTAAGTAAATAATATAACATATTTTTTGTAGTATTTTAAATTTTTTTTTCTTATTTTACAATATTATAACTCCATTAACTTAATTAAAAAAAATAAAAATAGAACATCTCTATATTCCCTAAATTATTTCTCCATTTTAATCATACATTCTAACTTTAATTCTAAATTTTTAATTCACCTGTAATTCTATCCTCTCAGAACTGGTTTGCGCTTTTACTCTTAGAACCTTAAATTTCTAATTTATTCTTAAAATAATCTTATGATTTTCCTAACTAAACTTTAAATAAGTATTATTCTAAAAGCCTTAAAACCATATAATAAAATTAATTTTAATATTCAACTATTCTTAGATATTTGGTTTAGAAGTTTAAAATTTTGATTTTGAATGCTTCTCATCAATTTTAGTAATATTCATGTTAAATGTTATTCACTTTTAATAGGATTTAGAAAATGTGATTAAATTATTAGTGTATTAAGAAAAAAAATTAATTTTAACCTTCAAGATTATTTACGCTGTGTTAGAAATTTGAAATTATTTTTTATTATTTTTGGTGCCTCTAGTGATATAACGAAAAAGAATTTTCAGAGCTTTTCAATTTTTACAAATGTGGAGGAGTATAAGAATTCGTTTATAATTTTTACCTTTTATTATATTTTTACTGATTTGAATGTTAACGTATTTTATAGTTATACTTTCTATTTGATATTAAAATATTTTTACATTATCTTATATATTTAATAATGTTAAAAATCGATCAATCTGACCGAATCACACCGATTCGATCTAAATTGGATTGGTTTGGTTATCACATAATAATGGATTAAATTGGTTTAAAAATTTTATTAACCGATTAAATTGAATTAATTTAAAAAATAATAAAATCTAAATCAAATCACACCGTGAACACCCTTAATACTTATTACTTATTTTTTAAAATTTAAATAAAATACTTGACCGAACAAATAAAATACCTACTAGTAATAGGTAGACCGGTATCCAAAACTCACCCCTAATGTACTTTTCTGTAGGCGCAGAACCTTGGGTTGGGCCCTAGCCACGGTTCGGTTCTGTTTCTGCCCCTGTTGAATGACAAAAAAAGAAAAAATTCCACGGAATTTTCCAATAGAAAATAAAATCCTTTAGTATGATAGAAAGCACCACTTTTTAAGAGTTAGAAGGCTAAAAAAATTAAAAATTACTCTTATTATTTTAAAATAATTGTTATTTTTATTTTAAATTTATTTTAATTTAATTGTTATTTTTATATTTTTTTACTTTAATTTTATTATTCATTCATTCATTTTAATTAATCATTCAATTATTAAAAAAAATTATTTTTTTTAAAATATTAATATTAAAAATAAATATAAATATTATCTTCAAAT